ATATATATACTGTATATATATATATATATATATATATATATATATATATATATATATATATATATACAGTATATATATTGCATAAAACTATCCACTGAAATCACCAGGTGATTCAAACCACACCGAGATGTCAAACATGATGAAGAAAAGTGACATTAGTGAAGCACAAACAGACTCTTGATGTGATGAATGATGTTCACAGGTGGCCGAAGACGTTGGCCGGTTTCATGGCCTTCCTGCCGTGTGCTGTGTCCCGCTCTGGCTCCGCCCCACATGAGAAAAGGGCGTGGTCCCGCTCTGACTCCACCCCTCAGGAGAAAAGGGCGTGGCGCAGGTGTGACCGCATGGGCCGCTGGGCGGAGCACGACTACAACCAGTGCTCATACACCAGCCAGTTCACCCGCAGCCTGCATGAGCTCACACAGGTCGGCACCTTCATCATCATCATCATCATCAGGAAGAGCGAGTGTTTTTTTTTCAGTCTCAGAGTGAATGCTGCTGCTGGAATTGCTTCTGACATGACACACCTGATTATAGATTTACATTTAGTCATTTAGCAGATGCTTTTATCCAAAGCGACTTACAAATGTTGACAATAAAAGCAATCAAAACCAACAAAGCCAAACATTTCTTAGGGATAAAAATCTACCTCAGCTTTTGCTCTATAATCAGCACTCAAATTAAAAAAATTGTATGCAAACATGTAAAATGTTTTTAAATTAACCTCTAAATTATACAATTTCTAGTTGTTGTTGAAATATAATAATTTACGGAGTCATAACTTGTTTCATAAAATATTTATTTAAACATATTAAATAATTAAGACATCACTAACAGGTAAATATAATGAAGTATAGTCTAATATTTTGCAAAAAGCCTAACGCAGTACATGTAGCAAGTTTTTATGTGTGTGTGTGTGTGTGACTGTGTCTGTATGTGACTGTGTGTGTGTGACTGTGTGTGTGTGTGTGTGTGTGTGTGTGTGTGTGTGTGTGTGTGTGTGTGGTGACTGTGTGTGTGACTGTGTGTGTGTGTGTGTGTGTGAGACTGTGTGTATATATTTAACAAAAAGAAAACAAGTAGATAGATTAGAAAACGAATAGAGAGTGCAAGTGTTAGAGGGTCAAGTCAACAAATAGATAAAATAGAATTAGAATAGAGAGTGCTAGAGCTAGAGGGTCAAATAAAGATTATACTGAGCAGATGTTCAACTCGACCTTGATTTGCTCAGTCACTTGTGTGTTAAAGGCTGAAAGCATTCGCAGCGAGGGAGTTTTTGATGCTTGATTGCCTCAGAATCTCTCAATAATCTTCACAATTATTATTTTATGTTGCTTTGGACCTGTTTATGTCTGATCCGATCACAACTGTTCAGTGCTAAATACAGATTTAGACGGAATCTGAAAAGTTTTATTAGTGAAATAGTTTGATTCACATGAAAATAACATTTGAAAATAACAACGCTCAAGCATCCTGATGACATACAATAATCAAACACAATATTAGCAGCTAAAACGTGAGTTTCAACTAGATTTAACTAGCTGTTTTTAGAATTAAATAACTGTCTAAACATTTCAGAAAGGTGCATGTACAGTAGCGTTAAACAAATTGGGGTTAATAAGATTGTTTAATATTTTTGAAATGTCTTCTGCTCAACACAGTCCTTTATTTGATCAAAAATGAAGTAAAACCAGGAATACGGTGTAATAATTTAAAATGTAATTAATTTCTGTGATTGATGATGAAAACTGTCTTAACTTTTTTGGTTTCTCATCAAAAGTTAGTTTTTAAAGAAGTCTCTTCTGCTCACCAGGGCTGCATTTATTTGATCAAAAATACAGTAAAAATTGTGAAATATTATTATAATTTAAAACAGCTGTTTTCTCTGTGAATATCTGTTAAACTGTAATGTATTTCTGTGATGCGCAGCTGTATTTTCAGCATCATTACTCCAGTCTTCAGTGTCACATGATCTTCAGAAATCAGTATAATATGCTGATTATTAGAAACATTTCTGATTATTATCAATGCTGAAAACAGTCGTGCTGCACAATATTTTTGTGGAAACTGATGCATATTATTTTTTCAGGATTCACAGATGAATAGAAAGTTCAGAAGAACAGCATTTATATGAAATAGAAATCTTTTGTAACATTATAAATGTCTTTACTGTCACTTTTGATCGAGCTAATGCATCCTTGATTAATAAAAGTATTAATTTCTTTTTAAAAAAACAATCGTACTGACCCCAAATTCTGAACCGTAATGTAGAGACACACTGATGTCAGTGAATATGCGGAAATGAGTCTGATCTTCTGGTTTTCTCTCAGATGTCGGTGAACGTCTCCAGCGCTCTGATGCTGGCGCAGCAGCTCTCGTCTCTCACCAGCAGGGCGGCGCTGTTTGGAGACGTGATGGATGTGATATTCGTCACTCATCTGGTAGAAAGACTCACACGTCTGGTGGATCATGTCAGAGAGGTGAGAATCACATGCCATCGGTTGTCTTGATCTTTAAAGCTGCAGTATTTTTCCTAGTTTCGCACCTAATGAAATGTGCTGTAATACTTTTGATGGATCACTGCAAAAAGTGATGTTCTCCCTCAGTATTCGTGTCTTGTTTTCTGGTAGAAATATCTAAACATCCTTAAATCAAGATACATTTACTGGAGATGCAAAAAGACAAATGTTAAGAAATGTTGTTTTTTGAGAAACTGAAAGTGAAGATCAAAATGAAGTGTTTATGATTAACACAAGAATTCAGAGGGAAAACACGTTTATTTTTCTGATTTCATCGGCAGATTTTTTCTCTCTCATTGAAACATAAGCTCACTTCATTTTGATCCGTTTCCCAGAAAACAAGATCTTTCTGAAGATGATCTTGTCTTTGCTTAAACAGTTGAGAGATTTAAAACCTCATTAAGACACATTTCTGGGAAACGTGTCAAAATAAAGTGAGTTTATGCTTAAAAGAAGCAAAAATATCTTGTTATAAGCAGGGTTATTATAGCTTACCAAACTGGAAAAAAATTATTACTGGAAATAATATATGTATATATATATATATTTTAAAACTGAAATAAAAATGAATAAATATAATATCTGCCAAAAATATCTTGTTACAAGCATTATAGTTAATAAAACCTAAAACCAAAAAAAACTTTATATATATTAAAAATTAATAAAAACTATAAACACATTTTAAAAAATGCTTAAAATGAGAACAAGATATCTGTCAAAATATATTGTTATAAACAGTGTTATTATAGTTAACCAAACCAAAACCAATAATAAAAAAAAAAAACATTTTTGTTAGTTGAAATAAAATAAAAACGTAAGCTTATTTTTATTAATTTAGTTTAACTTAAAAAATATTTTATTTCAGCATTTCTCATTTTTATTTAGTTTAACTCGACATACTCAAATAACTAGAACTAAAACTGAAAAAAAAACATACTTAAAAAGCTTGACAAGCAGTTGAACTAATATTAAATAAAAACATATTCAAAATATGAATAAAATCTTTAATAGTATTTCAGTGGTTTTAAGCACTCACTTGATCTGGATACTTTTCATGTGATAGAAATGGACTTGGTCTTGATTTAAGGATGTTTAGATATTCGTGCTGTTAGATATAGCGTGAGATATTTATAGTAAGTCTGTCATGTTTGGAAGTGATGTCCGCTCATGTAGACTGCAGTGGTGCACTGTGTCTCACGCTCTGATGTGTGACTCAGTCTCTTCCTCTGCTACTCTGTCATTTAGATGCAATCTGAGTCACTGCACATTGTTATCAGCTATTTCCAGCTTTAAGTGTTATGTGCACATGTTCAGTCAACACGTTTAGCATTTTAATAACACCGGCGGACGCTCACACTCCATCACAAGAGCTCTAGGAGGCTGTTTGTGTGTGAATGAGGAGAAAACACACTCGCTCGCTTTGGGGAAATTGGTATTAATTACATAACTCATGCTGCCATATGTGACCTTCAGGCCAGACACACACGACATGCTAAGTATGCAAACATTTGCACTCATTTGGAAGAGGCTCTTATTCACGTTTTATTGACTGTGCATTCAAGGTTTACATTTTATGAGTAGGTGTTTTTACTGGGAAATGAAGCTCATGGAAAGCGACCATGCAAATGAGTCGATTTATAATAGAGAAAAAACAAAAAAACAATACTGTATATATAAAAATCAAACATTATTAAATCATTATGAATCAAGTTTTGATATAGGCTATTCCATTAACATTTTTACTGTGCATATATATATATATATATATATATGCACAGTAAAATTTTTATTTTTTTCAAGGCAAATAAATATTTTTGAAGAACATTTTCCAAGAAAATACAGTTTCAGTCTTTGTTTGTCAAAATTTCATGTTTAATTTTTACTAGAAGTTTCTGAGTGAAATATGTGTTTAAATGCTACTTTTACTGTGTATTTAGGTTGCATAGATAAATGCAATAATTTAATAATTTTATATATTTTTAAATATAATATTATTAATTTAATACATTATAATATATAAAATAATATGAATAAATACAAATTAATTAATTATTTAATTACTTTAATAATGTAATAAAAATAATTTATTAATTTGAAAACAGGGTGTGCAAAATATAAGTGTGAGATTATCAAATTAATTCTCTTAATGGAGAAAATCTGATAGAATTATTGAATGCATTAGAGTTATAGAATAGTACTTGTGTGGAGTGAATCTGAGGTGCTGCTTGTGTCTAAGATGTTTTTATTTGTGCTGAATCTAGTGTGGGTTTCTGCTTTTGTTCTGATTAGCACAGAGCTGCTTCTGATTGATTATTTATTAGATTTCGTGGCAGTTACATTAATGTTAGGATTCGCAGGTCATTGAAGGGTCCTGAGGTCACAGAGGAGCTGGGAATATTGCCGGTTTTCCTGCATTAAACGAGGATGAGCTACTGAAGTAAATGAGAAATAACCTTCATTACCACGCCTTTATATGAATCTCACGAATGCTCTTACAGGTTTTGATGGCTTGTGCTGGAAATAAATTCAGCTCAGTACAGTCTGTTTATGGAGATGAGCTGTGCATGAGCAGAGAAAGCAAAAACACACCTTTATGAAATAAAAATATATGGGAATATACTAGAAAAAAAATAAAATTTATGAAATAATACATTTAATTTTCAGTATACAGTCAAATGGACCACATAAAAAAATAGTATTATAATAAATAAGTATTATTTAAAAATAGTATCATATTAAAAATAACAAATAAATACATATACATTATTATACTAAATAAATATATTACATTTACAATAAAGTAAAAAATAAATGCATATCAAAATAATAAATGATATAATCAATATATATATAGTTGATTAATATCTCGCTCATGAGTTAATGCATGGGTTTACATGAAAATTGAACATATATTCATAAACGCTTACATTTATGGGTTGCACATTTATTATGGAAATATGTCATGGTACTGTATATAAGAAAAATGTGTTTATTAAAATAAGTATGTCAGTTCATTCATTCATTCAATTATTTATTCATTTATTCATGCGATCATTTATTTATTCACTCATTAATTAATTAATTAATTTATGTATGTATGTATTTATTTATTTTTTACATTGACATTTATTTATTACTTACCATATAAATATTGTAATACGATATATCATTTATAATTTTGTGTATTATTTAAAAAAAAAAATCTGTATTTGTTTTTTTCGATTTATTGTATTATATTGAACATTAAAACATTTTATATTCTGTATATTTTCTATTTGCATTAAATAATTTAATATATTGTGAATATCTAAGGAAATCTATTTTCCTTGCGTCAGAGTAAATCCAGTGAAACTAATGATAGCTGATCTGTAAGTGAGGGCAGTGAAGTTCTTACCTGCACAGTGTGAGTCTGAGCGTTTCTGTGTCTGACTGAGATCTGTGATTGTGTGTGTGTGTCTGTGTGTGTGTGTGTGTGTGACTGTGTCTGTGCCTGTGTGTGTCTGTGTCTGTGTGTGTGTGTGTGTGTGACTGTGTCTGTGCCTGTGTGTGTCTGTGTCTGTGTCTGTGTGTGTGTGTGACTGTCTGTGCCTGTGTGTGTGTGTGACTGTCTGTGCCTGTGTGTGTGTGTGTCTGTATCTGTTTGTGTGTGTGTGTGACTGTGTCTGTGCCTGTCTGTGTCTGTGTGTGTGTGTGTGTGTGTGTGTGTGTGTGTGTCTGTGTCTGTGTGTGTGTGTGTGTTGGCCGATCACGTGTTGGATGTGGCCAGTAACATGATGGCGGTGGAGGAACATGTTCTCTGGATGGCTCAGAACGAGGCTCGAGCGTGTACCCGGATCGTCCAGTGTGTGGAGCGGATCGCAGACCTCGCGCTCAACGCGAACACCACCGGCATCTCAAAGGTCATCTTATAACACATTTCATTAGAGAGGATGACTTTTTTTCCTGAAAATTTTTAAAACTTATTTTGTTTCTAAATAATAATTTCTCAAATAAAATCAAAAGTTGTCCATGCATGTTGTCAGAATGTTGTTTGCAAATCTATTTTTGTGTCTCGTGTTTTATAAGGATATGATTTTTTTTGTATTACATCATAACATACCAGGACATATACAACCTTGTTTGGTAATGAATTTTACACAGGTTAGATAAAATAAAAAAATAAAAAAACAAGAACAAACATAGTACAAACACAAAACGCACAGTGTATTAGTATTATTAGTATTATATTAGTATTATATCAATATTGTACATGGAATACAAAAAAAAAGGAAAGAAATTGTAAAAATGTAAATTGCAGTGTAATTTTAGTATCATTCTGTTTTTATTTTTAAGTTTAGTTAACGTGTTAGTAATTTTTTTTTAGGTTTGTAATTTTTAGTAGGCTTTTTTATGTCTATATATTGTATTAATACTTGTTATTTCAGTTTTAGTTATTTTAGTACGTCAGGTAAAAAAAAAATGTTGCTTTACATGAAAATAAAAGTTTTTTATTTTTGTTTTATTATTTTATAAAAATTTTTAATTTTGTTAATGTTTATTTTATTTTAAGCAACGCTTTTTTGACAGTTTTAAATGTTAATTAGCTCTAATAATTGGCACGCATTTCTCTTGAGATGCTGCTGGTTAAACACTGATGTGAAGAGTTAGTGTGCTGTTGATTTATTCCCTGAATCTTGCGTTTGTGAATCTGTGGTCTGTTCCTGTAGATCAGTACATGGTGGCTTTTTTGCATCTAACCGAGTAAATCTTGACGTTATGCCAGACGTGTGGTTATTCTGATAATGTAGGTTACAGACTGGGATTGTTAATGGAGTCTTTGTTTTCCTAATCAGTCCTCGACTCACTCAGCAGAACCTCGAACAGGGAATGCTGTTTATTTCCCAGCGAGTGATTAGTGTGGCGTGTGTGTGTTTGTGGCAGGTTTCGGTGAACATCGCTCTGGAGGCGCTGCTGTTTCGGCCGGACTCTCTCATGGGTTTATTGTGTACGGTGGAGCAGCGTTTGCCTCTGCTGCCCCCGGTGGCCGACGCTTCACAGCACAACACCCTCCTCAACTTCAGATGCCACACGCTTAACGTCTCCGGGTCACCTGTGGGTCAGCTCAGCCAGGTGAGGCTCGTCACTAACCGGCCCACGAGTCCGAAAACCATTCAAACACATATTCTCTGCTTCTTACTTGGATTAAATCTACATTTAAATGTGTTAGGATGACCTTTTTATTCTCCATTTTATTAAAATGTTGAACTTTTACAATAACTATAAATGTTTTAAATTATAAAAATTAATTAGAGCTTGTATATTTGATATAAAGTAGAATATTTTTGTAATTCTAAAATATTTGATATTTTAATGTTTTTATATATTTTATAAATATTTTATTAAATGCTGTCATTTTACAGTTGTATAATTATATTTAAAATTATACCTATTTTAAATATAACTCAATATTTGTTATACTTCTAATATATTTTGCTTGACTATAAAATATTTTATATTTTTATAGAGATTTTTATTAGATTTTATCATTTTAAATATTTTGGTGTTGCAGTCTTACAATTGTATAATTATAAATGTTTTAAATATTTTACAATTTCAGAACATTTAATAATAAAAAGAAAATATATAATATAATTCTGAAATATTTGATATAAATGTTATTTAATGTTTTAAATTATAAATATTAATTAAAAAAGATATATAATTTTAAAACATTTTATCATTTAAAAATAAAATACATTTGTATAATTCTAAAATATTTGAATTATGTATTTTTTATCATTTTAAATATTTTATTTAAATGTTGTAATTTTACAGTTTTTTTTGTTATAAATGTTTTACATTTATAAATATTAATTTTAAATATTTTACCATTTTACATAAAGTTATATAAGCAGTTATGTCTTGCATCTCTCTCTCTCACACAGTTTTTATTTGTGTTAATGAGCTTCCTAACGAAGCAGAACGTTGTTTTCTAGAAGCCAGTATCCTTCAGCTTTAGTCACAGTCATTAATCATGATTTACTACTATACTGCCAGTCAGAAGCAGGTGCTGTTTATAGCAGAGAGAGCGTCTGATTGGACGAAGGTTTGTATATAAGAGCCAGATCATGAGGCATCAGTATTTTTCACATTTAAGTGTAAATAAATATACATTTATATTTGAATCTATATGTGCTAAAATACTCTTTCTGATATAGGAGCATATCAGAATGTATGTTCCTCTGATGGAATGTTTTTTATTTTAATTGCACGTGAACACATGAGTATAGAGTATGGATAGAAACAGACAGGATTTCTGTGTTTTTCATAGCTTTAAAAGCTCAAACATATGTAGAACAGAGTAGAACAGAAATGTATTCGATTTAAATCTATTTTATGTTAGCTAGTTGCCAACGTGAGTATGTAATACATTTTTTCATTTCACTTTATTTCTAGAGCAAGTGTCACAAAGTGCTTTACATAAGAGAACAATTAAATAACTTGTGAAAAAATCTATACAGTAAATTTATACAGCAAAAAAATATATATATATATATGGTTAATATGCTATTGTATTATATTAATATATGATACTGTATAATTTAAATCTAATACCTAAACTATTTCTAGATTGTAAATGTATTTTTGCCCCATTTCATTTAAAGTACTAAAATAACTTAAATGAAGTACACTAAAACTAATAAATAAAACTCAATAGATACTATATATGTCACGAATCCGGTCCATGAACTTCCTTCTGTTAGCCATCAGAGGTCACCCTTTCCGATTTCATTGACTCTCGCACTACACACTGTTGCACATCACCCCGGACTACATATCCCATCATTCATTGCACTGATTGCACACAGCTGTTAACACTGATTGCACCCAGCTGTTTCATATCACACCCTCACTATTTAACACTCACTCTGATCCCTTCCCTCTGCCGAGTATTGTTTAGCGCATATCTCAGATAGCTACACTACAGAGCCCTCATTTGTGTCCCTGCCTTAGCCTTAGCCTTAGCCTTAGCCTTAGCCTTAGCCTTAGCCTTAGCCTTAGCCTTAGCCTTAGCCTTAGCCCTCCGGTTTTGATCTTCGCCTGGTTTCCTGGATTTCTCCCTTTAGCCTTGCCCCTCTTACTCTGTCTGCCAATCGTCGACCCACGCTAGCCCTAGGACTATTCTTGTGTCTTGCCCGCCATATACCTGTCTGCCTCTGTTTGACCCTGCCTGCTTTATGTCCACGTCTTTGTCTTCTCCAAATAAAGCTTTGCATATGGATCCGCACGTCTCACGTCTCGTCAGCCCCGTAACAATATAGACATTTAAAAAATAAAAACAATTAAAGTCTAAACAGAAAGAAAAAATAATATCTAATTCAAAGTATTATCGAAAACTATCAGTGATACAAAAATAACTCTTTGTTGCAACATTTGATTGAAAAGCTGATAATTAATTAAATCATAAGAATGAATAGAATAGAATATTTCCTCATTGTAGACGTTTGTTATTGTAAACTAAAACTAAGAAGAAAAAATGTCATTACTGAAAATTAAATAAATATGAAATCAAATCAAATCAAATATAAAAACTTACATTTAATTTAAATAAATGTCATATATTATTATATTAAATAAAAAAAAAAAAAAGTATTCAACATTTAAACACTTACTAAAAAAAGTTGAACTACTGTATTAGTTTACGTGACTATTGACCATCATCAGCGAGAACAACATATTCACTGAAAATCTCCGGAGAACTTGAAGAGCATATTTTAGAGGCGTTCGACTGACATCATTTTGGGAATCATAAAATATGATATGCAAATAAAAATAATGCAGTGTTTTTCAGAGGCACAAAAGCTACCCATAAAAATGAACAGCAGAAGCTGCATCTCTGAACGTGGTCGTAGAAAATACTTAAAAGATCCAGTCATCCTTTTACTGAAAGCATCTTTGTGTGAACATTGGAACGAATGAAACTAAGTTTGTGGAAGCAGGGTTGTCCGATTCGTTGCCAGAGATGGTAGTTCTTGCTCTCGTTTGTGTGTGAGATTTGTGTTCAGTAAAGACTGTAATGCAGGACTCTTGAGCTGATCGCGGAACATTGCTTTAATGAGGAGGACGAGTGATATGATAAATCAGTATAAATCAGGCAGCGGCTGATCTCCTGTCTGTCAGTCTCCAGGTCTGCCCTGATGCACACTAACGAGTGAACGAGCCGTTGACTTCTGTTTGAGATGGATTTTGATCCGGACTTCATTTGCCTGCCGTGTGTCAGTCTCCTCAGGGAGATTTAGATAATATCATAATCTGATCACATCACTCACACAGATTCAGATATTACACAGTCCATTCTGTCATGTTTCTGTCCTCACAGAAACAGTTCCATATATATGTATATTATTAGCTCTATGTTTTAAAGACATTTGAGAGTATGTTGTTATATATTGTTAATGTAAATTTATATGTGTGTGTGTGTCTGTGTGTGCGTGCGCGTGTCTGTGTGTGTGTGCGCGTGTCTGTGTGTGTGTGCGCGTGTCTGTGTCTGTGTGTGCGTGCGCGTCTGTGTGTGTGCGCGTGTCTGTGTGTGTGCGCGTGTCTGTGTCTGTGTGTGCGTGCGCGTGTCTGTGTGTGTGCGCATGTCTGTGTGTGCGTGCGAGTGTCTGTGTCTGTGTGTGCATGCGTGTGTCTGTGCCTGTGTGCGCGTGGGTGTGTCTGGGTGTGCGT